CCCCAGCAACTGGAGAACACTAAGAAGTCACAGAGAAAACCAGTTTGCTCCATAAAACGTCCATCAGACCTTTTTCTGTCCCGTTCTCAGGGTGAGTAGGAGCCGCCTGGACAACGAGCAGACCACTTCACGTGCTTTAGTTTCAGTTTAGAAGACTTTTATTTTGTAGGAATGTTAGTGACGACCTGCGGAGGGGCACTGGAGCTGGGCAGCAACACAAAGCTTCGGCTCAGGTCGCAGCTGAAGGATTTGCTGGTTTCCAACCGATTCCTTGGTTTCCATGCGTAGATTATTTCTAACGGTCGGCGTCACGTGGTTTCAGCTCTTTGTGCCGTCGTTCTGACACTGACTAATGGTTCTAATCTTTGGTTTCATTTGTGGTTATGAATAGAGTTTCTATAATTACAGATTTATCACTGTCTAATGGGGCATGTGCTGTGAAGAATAATCTCAGCGCCTGTTGAAACTTAAAGCCTCTGTTGGAGACTAAATCATTAAAAAATACRCAGATTTTTACTTTAAATCACTGGTTTTCACAAACCCTCTGGAAAACTGGGACCAAACGTCTGTGTGAGCTTCTAGAAACATATCAATACGTGTCGTTACAGTGTTTTTATTGAATGTTGTCTCAGTGCCATCACAAGCTCTTTGGTGCTGCTTTAGCATTTAGCCGTAGCATTTCAGCTCTCATATTAGCTGTGGCCATTTAGGACAGAGGCTGAAAACCTTTGAAAATATGAGGAACTACGATGGAAGATTAAACGTCGTGTCAAACTCATTTTCACAGACAGCCACACGCGCATCGTGCTAATAACATTTTAACTCACGCTAACACTGAGCTCTACCTGGTTTTCCTGCATAGAAACAGTGTTTTCACTCAAACACTGAAAAGTCCTGCGTGTACTGACTAACTATGAAAAAAATACTACAGAAATACTATTAAAAGTAAGAGTTTTACTCACTGTTGAGTTGTGGTGAGTAGCTGCCATCTTGAATCCTGAACTCTTCCAACAGCGTAGTCCCACTGGAGGGGACTTCCAGCTTAAATTTACGACTTGTAAGTGGGAAATTCCCACTTCCCAGTACATCTGGGCTGCAGCTGGCAGCAAAATGGAGATTTTACATGGTGAATGTCACCTGCTGCTTTTGAACTCTGTGTAGCTCCACCTGGTGGAGGGAGGCTGTCATTTCATGGGTAAAATAACCAACATGTATCATCAGAGATGTAGGTTACGATTATTTTAAGACATTAATTAATACGTCTTTAAAGTTCTCACGAGCCACATAAAATTTGTCTTTTGTTTATTTAACAGTTTTGTTTTTATTTCTCGTGGTTTTGTTCAGGAAACCATGAATCTAGCATGATGTCAGCTGAAGTTGCGTTTCAGAAGTTTTCCTTTCCGTTCGCCTGCGCCGTGCACCTTTCTGCCCAGGAGAGTGTGACCCAGAAGGACTGTGTCCAGGTCCAGAAGCCAGAGCACCATGAACCTGAAGAGAATCCAGACTTCAGCGAGCCAAGTCCTGTTAGAGTCGTGGCTGCTCGCTTGCACGGTGAGCATCCAGCCCAGGTGAGCACAGCGCCCACCTGTGGAGAGGCCCGGGTGTCTGAGGCCCGGGTGTCTGAGGCCCRGGTGTCTGAGGCCCGGGTGTCTGAGGCCCGGGTGTGCACCGAGGCCCGGGTCTGCACCGAGGCCTCCCAGAGTGCCTTTGAGCATCTGAGGGTGGAAGCTGAAGATCAGCGCCCAGCAGCAAAGAGACAGCTGTCGACCGAGAGCGCAGCTCGCTCCATCACAGCTGTGAAGAAAAGCACGGTGAGAAAAGAGGCAGAGGAGCAAAAACAGCCGAACACACAGCCGAGACCGAGGCCTGCACCRCTCACTGCTGCAGCTGCAGCTGTGGGGAAGAGGAAACGCAGGAAGGACCTCTTCACCAGCTCAGAGGTCTTCCACAGACTGGACTCACGTGTCCTCAGGACAGGAGCAGAGGTGAGGAGAACAGTTAAACTTCAGCTGTGTGTAGTGTTGTATAAAGTACAACAAAGTGATACTTGAGTAAAAGTACAAGTATCTTAACAGAAAATTACTTTGGTAAAAGTTAAAGTCTCCTTTAGGAATATTACTAGAGTAAAAGTACAAGTATTTTACCAAAAATACTTTGGTAAAAGTTAAAGTCTCCTTTAGGAATATTACTTGGGTAAAAGTCTTAAAGTATCTGATATTTGTTGTAGTTACTGTATTTGTACTTAGTTACTGTACAACTCTGCCTGTGTGTGTGTGTGTGTGTGTGTGTGTGTGTGTGTGTGTGTGTGTGTGTGTGTGTGTGTGTGTGTGTGTGTGTGTGTGTGTGTGTCGTTCAGCTCAAACAGAAGTGTGTGTTCGACGTGAAGACCATCGTCCGAAGCATCACTCAGGGGTCCAGAAACAAGCTGGAGCGGCTCCGGTCCATCTGGGTCTGGCTGTGCCACAACATCGGTGGGTTCAGCGTAAGCCCCTCACGTTTAGGACACGGGTTTGTATTTCCTGTCGGATTAAAGAGGACGTTGTCTTCGCAGAGTACGACGTCAGTGGGTATCTGGGCCTTTCGGAGAAGCTGAGCTCACCTGAGGAGGTGATCGCTGCCGGTCGGGGCGTTTGCTGCAGCTACTCCAACCTTTGCTCAGAGATGTGCCGGTGAGCTTCAACAACTTCAGGAAACTTTTCTCTGGTACCACAGAACATATTTGTTTACTTTTATATTTTAACGTATTTCTGCCTCAGATCCTCTAGAAACATTTGGAATTTTACTGGACTTGGAGCTAGAAACACCATTTAAAGCACCGTTTCAGTCACAAAACCAAAACTTGCGGTTCTGGATCTTTTAGCCACTAAGAGGTCCAGAAAGTGTCGGTTGTTTAAACTCATATCTCCAACATAAATGACCTGAAAAAGCTGAACATTTGATGACTGAGCTCCAGATCCTCCTGCTGATCACCGTTCAAACGGTTTTTAAAAACACTTTGTCGTTTTTGTTTGAGGTTTACTCTTTAGACTGTATTTCTTTCTTCCTGTCTCGTAAAGTGCAGCTGTGGTTTGCCCCGCCCTCTGCCC